TGATCGGTGGGTCAACTCCAGTCCAAAACCAGGTGACACCAGGAATGGATCATTCAAGCCACAGTAGGTGGAGGGTCCTTACCATCTTCACCTCAGTCCCAGGAATCAGAAGGGTAAAAGGACTTCTGTTTCAAAAACCCAGGTCAGCACATGCATACAAAAGCACTATACCACCAACACCAGTCTCTAGTCTATTACCGCTAAATTATGAATGGTTAGTGCAGATAATCCTAAAATAGTCTTGTGCACGAATAAAAACAAATCAAACCATTTATACATACTGTGTTACTTTTAATTTATATGAACAAGGCGAAAATATTTAAAATTTGATTATTTTACGCATTACATGATACGAAACAGTCCTCTTCAGGACTATGTTTATTTCTTTGCTGAATTTTGCATTTGATGGTTATCAGAGCTAGTTGTCTCCAATTTTGTAATGAAAGATTAGTTAACACCATCCAACACCAACTTTTGGGCTACTTTTTACTAACAAATGGCAAAATTGAATTTTACAATATAATATTTCTTGGGCTGAAAGATCAAGTATGTTCAGTGATGGGTTCGATGGATCCTGCAACCTCTAGGTTGTGAATCAAATTCTTTAACTATCAGGCCATGTTAGGCTTCATGACTATGTATATTGTAAGTTAAACTGGTATATGAATAATCATGAAGTACACTATACAAGTATTTGAATTTTTATAAATTGAACACAAATATCAATTCTATATATTCAAACACTGTTTATTTTTGAATGAGTTGGTATTGAAATGAAACTATAAATTAGAAGGTTGACAAAAAAAAGAATGAAGAAACAAATATCGTGTTAAGAAAAACTGCAAAAAATAAAGTATTTTTATATATATTTTGATTAGCATGACACAACTTGACAATCATATTCAGACAGGTTCAACAAATCTCTTTTGGTTTTCACTTGTAAATCCCATATAAAAACATCTGCCCCACATAATTTACTGTACGACTCATAATACTCTTTATAGATGAATTCATTGCCCACCCATAGTGACCTGTAGTAGCACATTGTGGAATTGTCCACTCTTTGATGCCACTCTGTTGAACCATGGCATCATACATCACGTGATCTCCAAAACTCAAAGGAGACTCCCACTGGGTGACACACTTTGATTTCCAGTAACCCCACTGAGATGGTTCCTTTGGATGATAGTTGGCTAACTAACTAATCTCATGGTTAAATCTTTTTCTAGTGTTTTGATCCAATATAATAGTGTGATTAATGAAATAGTCAGAGATTAAACTCTTCCATAACTAGTATTAGACATTGCTTTATTTAAATAGCTTCAAGTGATATTTTTCTGATGTTACATGTAGTTTTTATGTAAAGTCATGACTTTCTCGTTGATGGGATGTCTCTAGGACAAAACATATCTTATACCTTTTACACGGGTAAATGCTACATACTGCAATCTTTGGTCTTAAATCTCAAGTTAATGAGTATGTGATTTTCTATGCAATAGAGAAGCATTTAAAGTTGGCTTAGCTTATGATAGCATATAGACCTTTCGTTGAAGTATGTAGCCCCTGAACTTGTGTGATACCTGACTTTATTTGTTTAACTATTTTAATTAGATGTTCCAGAATTAAGATGTCTTTCGCTCTTGATTTCTCTTGATGTTTGTCCTTGTTTTCGACCCCAGCACCCAGCTGATAGAGAAGTCTGACTAGTTTTGGTAACACAACATCGTGTTTGTTATATAAGGAATCTTGTTTGCAACTTCACCTCATTTGCTTGTTTTTCTTCATTGCCTGTGTTCAATTAATTTTTCACTTCTTAGTCCTTAACTAGCATTTTGCAAACACTTTAAGACTCTTTGCTTGAGTACCAGCGAACCCGAATATCACAGATTGATTAAAAATGTGATATTTGTTGCCTCTAATTGCAGAATATATTTTAAACAATAGTCTTTTTCTGTTGACTCTCGGTTAAAACAATGTTTGTAAATTATGTTACTTTATAAAGCCATGTAAAACTACAGTGGTATTGAGGACCCAACTGTGATTTTAGCAATATATAGAATAGGTAGCCTTCTGGACCTAGAGCTTTCACCAGTCATAGTGAGAGCAATGTCTGCATCCTCATTATGTCCTCTAAATTGACCACAAATAGCTATACCCACATACAAGAGCACGGCACAGTAGAACATAGTCATGCTGGCAGTAGAAAGTGGCCTAACATTCAAAGTTTTACTGGAATTGTAATTATAGAATTTCCAATTTGTTATGAAAAATTCCAGGCATCATAAAGTGTGGTGTGTAGAGCCAAGGACAGTGACAAGATGCATATGCTGAATGAAGGTCTGCACATTTCATTGCAGTTCCATAAGGTAGATCAGTGGCATCTTAAATGATCCATGTAACGAATTTATTACTATATATTTATTTGAATATCAACGTTTGTTTAGATTAAATTTATTTTTAGAAACATATATCGCTTATACTTTTAAATATGTATTGCGAAACTCTCGCCTATTTTCCAAAGTTGTAGAATATTCTCGAGAGTAAGAATCAACAATATATGTGTGTATGTAAACGATTAAATTTGTATTGTTGCGTAATCTGAATTTTATAAAAAGCCTCCATAGCCTATAAATATAACCAACGTAATGCGCCAAAAAAGAGTGTCTATTATTAGTTCACTGCAGTCAGTGTACTATAAACTTCGAAAACTATAACTGTGATTGTTATAACGCTTATCAATCGGAAAACTTCGGATATTTGACCATGAGTATTTATAAATTTCGAAAATTACAAATAATTTAATTTCAGTGGATTCTCATTGGACATTAATACTCTTATGAAAACATTACCTAACGTCATTCGTAGAAACTCAATCTCTAATAGGCATATGAACAGCGAAGACTACAGGGGTAGCTAGCTCGCTGTTAAGTGAATTGTACCTACGTCAACTCGAAATTCACTCGCTCATCGTGAACCCTCGATAACATATCAAGGAAGTTCCAGATTAGAAGAAGACTTTATATTGCTTGTAAGTTTGTGAAACTTTTGTTTATAAATCATTGTTTGTAATAACTGTTATTATAAATTGTACTGTTGTGTATATTAAAACGTATTTGTTTTCAAAGAAAACTGTGTGTATCAATCTTGTTGGCAAATATCGTAAACTGACTATATATTGGCACATATTTAAATACTAAATCCAAAGTACAATCTAACTACAAGATTTCATTTATCAGTTAACTCGGTTTCAGACCATTTGAGATTCTAATACATAAAATCCAGCAGAATTTAAAGCTAGTAAAGAGCCTTTCAGGTTACCAAGGCACACCGATGGCACTCCAAACTATCATCCATAGCCAACAACACTATGGTGTGTGTATGCATAGTGTTATATCACACATAATTTCATCACTATAGAACACACAAAATCTTCTCACTTTCACCTTAACTCAAGGATGCCACACTTCTGAGGATGCACTTATCTCAAGACTTCTGGAACAAGATAATGCCCTGAGACAATAGCCATTTGCCAAAGTCTAAAGATAATTTCATAATAAAGTATGCTATCACACATTGCATCATTAAAATGGTGCATGCTTTTGTGTGTTGAGACATCCTATTAAGGACGTAACTAGAGGATGTTGTATTTATCAGAATTCACGCATCTCCATTTTCCAAGGAAAAAATGAGGAACTCCCTAGAATATCCTGATCGATTTTAGCAGAGAAGATGATAGTTGGAACCTGTGAGCACCACCCAGTGGTGGAGTAAAACAGATAAGTCCAACAGTGTTCAAGAGACCACCAAAGAAGATGGAAAAACAACAGAAGTTAAGACGCTCACTTGATTAAACACCAACGACTGAAAGGAAGTAGCATTCCTTTTTTTTCCACTTATTACGTTGTGTTTCCGTATAGGATGTATATGCACTATATTATTTGGTAATCACTTGATTAATTTACAGTTAGGATAGTTGGTTGATTGAAATTAAACAACTGAAAAAGTATTGTGACCCTTACTTACAGAGCTATCAAGGTATATTTGGTAGCACGATTTTCCTATATTTGTCGAGTTCAGCTGTAGCAGAATTTACATGAAACAGGCTGCGCAAAACTTACTATATACAGAGCTAGGACAGCTGAAATTGTTGGATGGAAAATTACAGTTGGATTTCACAGTTAATTATTACTGGGGATTTTGACAAATAAACTAAAGATATTTTGCGATATAACATTTGTTTTTCAAGCACTCAAGTAAACTCTTCTGACAAATGTTGGCCAACGATTGCCTATAGAAACTTCCAGTAAGTCGGCGTGACTTTGTGTTGTATCGATATGCAAAACTGCACCTGATAATATATAGTGTTTGAAAAGTCTGGGACATGGGCATTTCAACGAATTTGACAGAATGTGTTCCACATGCTGTCCTTGTAATACGAAAAAAGGTTTGGATTAACAGCACAATGATCTCGACTTTCTCATAATTTGACAGAGCCATAATATGTCATATATTTGAAATTAAGAAAAGCTTCAAATTTCCCATGGTTCCAGATTTTTGGACACCATTGTATATATGTAGAAGGTAGGATGAGGCTGTAAACATACATTTTAACAAAACCTTTAAGGTTAAAAGTACTGGTTACTGATTGTAAATTAGTTGGCCTAATTTCAGTTAATGATGTAAGGTGTCTTCCTGCAGTTCCCTTCTTCATTGGATGCGGGCTCTATTTTTATGATAAACAAACAATGGTGAAGGATCTTACGTTTATGTCAACTAGCTAGTTAAACTAAAGTTTCTTTCATTTAGTTCAAAGCAAGTAAATTGTCTTACCTTATTCAGTGGTTTTGCTTGACGCATGTAAATCAAATATCCTACCGTCATTCCAATACAATATGAAGCAAGGTGGTTCAATGGATTAAAGTAAACAGCGTTCTCAAACTCCAGTTCGGCTCTATAAATATAGTATCAAATGATAATTCAATTCAAGTTCTTATCTTTTTTTATCATGAGATTGGATTTAAAAAAATGTTTCAAGATATGCATTATGGTGGATCCAGGAATTTTTAAAATTTAACCCAACAAGTAAATCACGGAAGATGTACTTACACTACATAGTCGAAGTATTGAATGCTCACATTTAAAAAAAGGTTTCGAAACAACTGAACTATCCTACTTGAATTCATGAAACCATTTACTAGTATTAATATAACGAAACTATATACATAACATTTTCTGCACAGAATTTGATAAACGCTGTTTTGTAAACAACAATAAATATATATATATATAATTTACTCGCACACTAATATTGTATGTTGATATTTGGTATTGGTGGTTTGCACAAAGGAATTACGTTCACTCTATGAAAAAATAGGAATCGAACCTATTGCTCCCTCGTCCCTTTGGAGCTGTCACTGAAAATATCGTTAGTATTTATATTACCAGTCAAGTACAGAAATATAATTTGACAGCACTTCAAGTACAGGATAGGATCAGATTACCATTTACGAATCAACTTCCTGAGAAGTTGATTTCGTTATTGGGAAACAAATACGTCTCGTAACGAGAAGCAATCACGAGTGCAGATACACAATATGTATGTATGGTTAAAATCACTACTTCTTCGTTTAAGTTATTCACGGTAAACAAAAGATATGACGTATACTAATGATACAAAAATGCGCTTACTGAAAAGATATTACAATCTTTGAACTATTTTAATTGAAACACTTCACATGAAGTTCATTGTTGAAACCTTAATTGCACTAGAGTGTCAAAGAAGCTTAGATTTATGCCATAACTGATAGAGTTGAAGGGACAGAAAGAGAAATAAAGGCATTTCTTCTGAAGTTAGAACATTAATGAAATAATCAGACAGGTCTCTTTCTTAATCTTGTTTATTTATTGAATTTCGCACAAAGCTATTCTGCGTTACCGCTAGGTAACTAATCAACATCACCCACAGCCAACTCTGAAAGGGCCAACATTTTAGATGATGGGATTCTAACACGTGACACACGTGTTGCATGTCGAGCGCCCCTAACTACCAATCCGTGCCAGTTCCACTCTTCATCTTCTATCAGAACGTTGCATTCAGTTTAACAAAATCAGCAATACAGGATTCTAAACACTCACTAATAAAATGCGTGCAATGTTTTACATTTGTCATAAGTAGGTGAATTACATATATTCAGTTATACGACTGAATCTGTTGTTTTACAATGCAATTTGAGTAATTTACTATTTGATTATGATGAACTGGAAATATCTTTGCCATGTGGTAAAGCTTTGAATTTGCCATTTACAGTAAGACTACTGAGCAGAAAAGATTATTTTATGCTGATGAAAGCGTGTCTTTTATACAAAAACTGAGAGTATATTAGCAAAACAAGAGTTTTTATACAAAACATCTAAAACATATATCAAATTATATGTTGTATCCTTCGGTATGTTATGTAGTTTATACTAATTTTAGGTGGACAGAAGAAAGTAGTTGTAAAACATAGTCGACTTACTCTCTGTCAGGGATCGGAAAAAACAAAGTGGCTGGATAATTGTATAGTGCTGTAATTATACCAGTGAATACGATGGATCCCAAGATCAAAACACAGTTGATTATCAGTCCTTGTGTTGCGTTTCTGAAATGTAATTTTTAAACTTTATTGTGCTGAGGTTTCGATACTCCCTCAAACACATAATATATATGCATATAGAAAATATAACTTTTGTTTTATTTACATATTTCTATTTATATGATTAATAATAAATGTGCATACACAAATTATTATAATAAAACACAACGTTTACAAACAGTGGGTTTACAAATACTTAGTAAAAACTTTTAACCCCTATATTTTTATCGTTCAATAATGCCTAAACACATTACCACTAAATTACGAAAACTTATAAGAATGGAATAATAGTGTTATTTGTTTTGCCACAATTTGTTTTGCTGTACAATGAACTATCTAAGTTATGTCGAGCAACTTCGAACTGTCGCGAAGCCAGCATCAAATGTATGTGGATGCGTACATACGAATCCCTGGTGGGGGGTCTGAGTGCAAGTGGTTATAACCAGTGATATATTGAAATAAACTTTGAATGACATTACTTTTATATTTCTTTATATTTTATGCTTATACATTAAATATATACTATATATCTTTAAAAAATAGTGAAAACGTTGTGGATGCTTCAGCATACAAACATACAAGGTGGCTACGCCACTGACGGACATAATAGTTTATACTGATATAAAGTTGCACGCTGTAATATTTGTAACTGTGGGATACATATTGTTCTAAACAAGTAATTACAGTCAAATAACTTTTATTCCAGGAAGCAGATGTTTTAATGGTCCGTTTTTATCTCTACAATTTCTTTATATTAAAAGAACACAAGTTCAATCAAAGCGTTTTTGGATGTTTCCTGAGAAGTTGTTTTCAATGTTTTAGATTTCGTATCCGATACGCTACTACATCAATAACGTCAAGTCGTATTTTTATATTGGTTATATAATAGTTCTAGTTTAGTTATTGATGCTACTAGACGCGGAAATGTTCAGAACGTCTTTTATATATAGTTATTATTTCTCTCCAAAGATGATAGCATATATCATTGGTTATATATATTGCTGCGGTTTTGGTTTGAAAAAACTACACCAGGGAAGGCAGCAAGTCATCACCACCCACCGCCAACTCTTGGGCTACTCTTTTACCAAGGAATAGTGAGATTGACCGTCACTTTATAACGCCCCCACGGCTGAAAGAGCGAGCATGTTTGGTGGGATTCGAACCTGCGACCCTCAGATTGCGAGTCAAGTGGCCTAATCACCTGGCCCATATTGCTACGGAGTTTGGTTAATAGGTGAACTACCGTCTCTTCATCAGCAATAGCGCAGAAATGCGTAAATTACTTAAAGTTGTACAAGAGAGATTATGCATGTGGTCAGGGGACTTGTATGAACTGTCGTAAGGCAGAAAGAAACCAAAAAAAAAGTCAAAAATATATAACCAAAAATAATTTTTAAAAATTCATGACTAAATAACGTAAAATCAGAAAAAGATTTTGGGGATAAAATCAACAGTAATTGATAAAATGTAAGTAGTATTGAGTTAAAACAATGCAGTACATAGTTGAAAATATTAAATATTTCGTAGGTTGTGGTATATTTGTTACTAGCGATAGCAAATAATATATTAATGTGGATTAAAACAACTCGAGAGAATTTTAAGAATAGTTGGCATACAGCTATTCACTCCTATATAACTTTATCTTAACCATCTTTATTTTTATTTGTCTGTATTAGTGGTTTTCTCGTACTCGAAATTTAATTACAAAGTTTTGACTACCTTTCCTTTCTCTTACTCTTGTATGAATACCAATACATACATTTAATTTCATTTCTTTACAACTATTTAAACACACAAATATTCTCTATTCTTTGCGACCATTTAAACATGGTAATGATCACTATATTTCGTTCGTTTTATTGCTATTCAAACACCAAAATGTTGACCAGTTATAAACACCGAAAAATTCACGAAATTTTATTTTTCTGAAGCTAATTTCAATATCGTAGCGTTGGTTATATTTTTTCTCTATTCATTACTTAGTTTAGCATCATAACGTTTTCTACATCTCATCTTTAATCATTAGACTGACCATTTTTATTTGGGCTAAAGTTGAACTTCTTTCTGTTTTTTTTAGTTACTTTTTAGACGTTTTCATAGTGCCAGTCATAAGATTATGTATTCAATGTCACACACAACGCTATCAGACGCAACTGTTCTGTGGTGTTACCTTACAATATAAAGTAAAACTTAAAAAAAAACACTGACATTAGCAACTATAATACTAAACTTATGTATAGCGAAATTACTGTTTATAGCTTCATATCTAATGTGATATGTGATGCCTAATCGAAATATAATGTTAAGCTTGGTTATACGTTTTACTTAAATATATATCTATTACTAAATAAAGGTCACTTAGTTATTAATGTATTTTTTGAGTAAATACTTAATAGTTCTTTACGTAGCCTCGATCTTCACATTAAGGTGCTCTGATTCAGAATATTAAAACCGTCAGAATCGATTTAGTAAATAAAGCAACTTTAAAATGAACGCTAGTAACTGTTATCTTATTTCAACAATCTTTACTCAGTTAAACCAATATCAAATTGTTATTAATTAATGCTTCCGTTCAAGAAAGTTGTCATAATTTAATTAAAGTAAATAAAAATCCCTACAAAGCGTCATAAAGAGTTGAAACGAAAGAACTAACTTACTATAATGTTTTCATAGGTCAATTGTCCCAGTGCAAGATATTAATGAAAGAAAAGGCAGTGATCTTTCTCCAATAAGGAAATAATTTTCAATTACAATTCACTTACGAACTGAAACTTTCAAAATGGCTGTTATAATTATTAGAAATGAAAAAATCGTTATGAATATGACTTACTTGAGCAATGGAATGAGGACGATTAATGATACCAGGTGAAAGGTCATGTCATTCCCAATATACCAGGTGTGTTCTACACACTAGAAAAATCAAGAGCTGTTAGAAACTACAACAAATCACTTGAGAAACGTATCCAATGTGAAGATTATAAAATATTTTCCAAACAAAATAGCTTGTTCTAGAATTTCGTCTGAATATTTTTAGGATTTTCGTTTGTAAAAGCTCCCCCCCCCCCAGTGGCACAGCGGAATGTCTGCGGACTTACAACGCTAAAATTCGGGTTTCTATACCCGTGGTGGGCAGAGCACAGATAGCCCATTGTGTAGCTTTGTGCTTAATTACAAAACAAATAATTGTAAAA